GGGGGTGGGGTGGGGTTCAGCCTTTTCCCCCATGGACTGAGGGGAAGGAGTCAAGACCTGAGGTTCAATCCCAGGTAGCCAACTCAAGGTTGACTCAGCCTTCTGTCCTTCCGAGGTTGGTGAAATGAGTACTCAGCTTGCTGGGGGAGGGGCAATGTGTAGAGCCTGGCGAATTAAATTGTAAACTGCTCAAAGAGTGCTTAGAGTCTTATAGGGCAGTATATACACAGTATATAAATTTTTACCATTTTTTTTTTGCTCTTAGTGTGCCCATGGCACAATCCGAGGTGCTTGTCCATCAGAGGCTTGGTTACATCCTCTTCATGCTCCCTTGAAGTTCAGATTTGCACTCTGCTCCAGCATGCCATCCGCTGGACTCTCCGGGGGAGAAGGACCGGCAGGAACCCGATGGTGGCCGGCGCAACTTGGCGGATGGCTCTGGCTTGGGGAAGAGGAGGCCGGCTTCTCCCGGTCTCCCTCCAGCTGGCCCAGGACATCACAGCCCAAAGTTCTTTCCTGCCAATTGTTCATTTGGGGATGCAGCAAAATGTGATGACACACACACACAGAGAGAGAGAGAGAGAGAGAGAGAGAGAGAGTTGTTTATCCTAAGGACAGCCCTTGGACTGGAGCTGACAACGTGGGGACTGACAGAGGACGTTTGCTCCGGAGAAACAGAGGAGACCTGGCTGCAGGAAAGGGCCCAGCGCCAGGGGGTCAAGAAAAGGAGCCACACCACAGTGGCAGAAAGTGTCACAGGAGAGGAACCCGCTGGCAAAGTCCCGGTTATGGGAGCAAGGCCGTCCTGTCAGCTGCAGTGGGAAGTCGGGGCTGATTCACGGTGGGTGGGTGTGTGCCGGGGGCCTCTGCGGTCTCCCACCCTTCGCATCCTGGGCACGTCGTCAGGAGTGTACCTGGCATTTCATGAGGTAGCCGCCGACCTCACTTATTCCCATAGCGTTCCAGCCACGAAACGAAGGGGAGAGCTGGAAGGGGCTCCTACCACAGCTGGAAACCCACCGCCAGAGCACCCCTGACCGGTGGCCATCCCAACCTCCGTTTCTGAACCCCCAATGAAGGAAAAGCCACACACACACACACACACACACACACACACACACCACCACCCCAGGCTGTCCCGCTCC